CAGTCAGGGCAGGCAGTAGCTCAGTCTTCATCATGTCTTGCTCCACAGTCAGACTCCTGAGCAAATACACAGGAGGAAGCTCAGTGTTCTGCAAGAACAGCTTCCCAAGACTTCAGGGCAGCCATCCCCCTCGCACCCAGTGCTTTGACAGCTGGCTTCCCCAGCTCCTGTGAGGGAATATCCCATTTTACCACATCCTCCAGGAAAGTGGAGGCTAAGTAAGTCAGCCTGTCTCAGATACGGAGTTATTATTATTTTGGGTTTTGTTTTTTTTTTTTGCGGGGGGCGGTGTACTTTTCAGGTTTTGTTTGTTTGGCTGGTTGCTTTTTTTTTTTTTTTTTTTTTTTTTTTAAAAAATAGATCTCCCTCTATATCCCTGTATAGCCAAAACTCACTGTGTAGTCCAGCATAGCCTTAAATTCAGCAATCCTTTTTTTTTCTTTTTTCTTTTTTGGCAGTGGAAGGGACAGAATCCCAGGGGTTCACACATGCAAGGCAAGTGAACTACACTTCAAGCTAGACCTGGATTCCTGATTTTTCTTTTCAAGAGTTCTTACAGACTTTGCTGCCTGCCTGTGGTGTGGCTCAAACCTAAGGAAGGCAGAATGAGGCACCAGAGCGGAGCGACTCACCCTCCAGTCACGGCCTCAGCACCAACAAGAGTCCAATCCTCTGGGCTTACAACCCTCCTCAGGCCTCTCCCAGATGAGAAAACAGGATTTTATACTAAATGGCCAGCATAATGGAAAAACACCTAGTGCCAGCTCCTGGAAATAAGAAACTGGCTGTCTGAGACTCCAGCGTGAAGGAAACAGAACAATTACTCAAGCAAGGTCTGTCCTGGGGTGCACCAGAGGAATACTCTATTCCACCAAGTCCACAGATTCCAAATATTCTCAGCGGTAAAACTCTCATTCAACCTGAAAATACATGGGGCCTCCAAACATGTTCTCCGTCTTGGCTTTAAAGAGGGGGAACCACACAAGGTGGTAGAAGACTCTCAGGAACCCAGAAAACAACCGCTTTGACCCTGTGATAGCTAATACTATCAACTCTAACAACCACGGCCAGCAAAACTAACCAAATGGCACCGTTTGTTTTGTGGCGCCTCAGGTGCCCCAGGACTTTAAGCATACTAGGGAAACGCACTGTCTCTGCATTAAACCCCAGTTCTCCTTTTTGGCACAACAGCTGGGCATTTTCCAGACCCTTCTCCTCATGTTCAGCAAAATAAACATTTCTGTAAGATCAGATTTCTGTAATATCTGAACTCCCTTAGCCCTGGCACTGTCCAAGCCTATGGAGGGCAGAAGGGTGGGAACAGGTGAATATGAGCCCATTTACGTATTTCCTGGCTGCTAACACGGTATGGCTAAATAACACATTATTATTATTAGTGCTCACTCCACTCTAGGTCCCAAAAGAGCCTGGAGAAGATTCGATAACTCCTAAAGAAGGAATTCACCGACCGAGGGCACCTCCAGAAACCTTTTTCCTAACTACACCTAGCCTGACACTACCCAGAAGATGCTCTCAGGTCCTTAGTTTGCAACTAGCGACATTTGCTTGAACTGAGGTTACAGATCTGCAGCCAGTGTTCGAGATCAAATCCATGGACACGTCTTATTTTGCTCATAACATTGTTTTTACTTTCAGAGAGTTGCCTCTCCTCATCGGGCGAGCTTCTGCAGCATCAAATGCTGAGCTGCAGACTCCCATAAGCGGCATTGCCCAGCAGTAACTGTATCCTCCTCTATCGCTGAGTTCCGCAGCGACACTAAGGGGCACATACTCCTTAACTGGAGAGATCTGTACTTCGGGGGTTCTCAACGAGCGGGCTTCTTTCATAGTAAAGATGGACCGAGCACTTTGAATCACAATTGCTTTCAAGTTCTCGGCTAGCTGGACTCAGGACGGGCAGCTCCGGGGCGCTGGCAACTCACTGTCGCCACATCAGCTGGACACCAAGAGGAAAAGCAGCTGGCTTAGAAACTGAGGTCGCGACCCCAGAACTGGAGTCCGATTCTGGCCGAGTAGGAGCAGATGCTCGCCCTCTGCCCGGGCTCGTCTATGCCAGCTGCCTAGGCGACGGCCCTCAACTCTCCCGGCCCTGCTTCGCTTCGAGACCGCCCGGCGGTGCTGAGCACCTGCGCCTGGAGACCGGAAGGGCTCGCCCACCCGACGGCCGGCCTGCCGGCACCGGGCCTCGCCGCGACAGCGCCCAGACACACTTATCCGGACCGCGGAGCGCGCAGGCGTCTCCCGGCGCTGACAGGCTCTGGAGGCACCCCGGCCCGCGACCCAGCAGGATGACCTACAGGGAGCACAGCCGAGTCGCGGAATCCGCAACACCAGCGTCGTGGGCATCCACACTGGCGCTGGCGACTGCAACCAATCAGTGTCCTCCTCGCACTGCTCCCAACCAACCAACTCCTGCTCTTGGCCAAAACCGCGCCCTCAATCCAACAGTGCCCGCCCATAGGGCTCACAGCCAACCGGGGGCTGGCTCGTGCAGGCTGTCCGCAGCTCCTGCCCCAAACGTTCCCTACCCTGCCCTGGCAGCCTTGGCCCCCGGCTGGAAGCAGGTGTAGTGGGTGAAGGGAGGCCGAGGTACGCCTCCTCGTCTCTTCCCGGCCATTGCCGGCGCGCAGAGATCAGCGTCCAGCTGCTGCGCAAGCAGGGGTCGAACAGCATCCTAAGGCAGTGGTCCCCTCGAGGCGGCTGTAGTCCAGGCAGTTAACGGTCACGTGACACAGGCTTCCCTCAAGCCACTGTCTGGCTTCTGGGAATGGGGCAAGACTATCATGTGCGTGTGCATGTGCGTGGGGAGGAACTACGCAGACCATGTCAAGGAGATGCGCACGGTGCTAAGCGAGCCTGTACTGCTCTTGAAGCGGTCGGTCCACCGCGTGCGCTCCCGAGGGCTCACCTGGTTAAGGCGCGCTTACTGCCAGAACCTGCACCACGAAGGTGGAGTTGGGAGGGCTCTTGGGCAGGCGTGGTCAAGCCTTCTCCGAGGCCGCTGCCGTGGACTATGTGGCCGGCTATACCCTGTGCCTGGAACAAGACTGCCAGAGGTGTGCAGGAAGAGTGCAAGAGGAAGGGGTCCAGCTGCCCTGGACCCTGGCCAGGAGCTTCACGGCCTCCCGCCCTGTCAGCGCCTTCGTGCCAAGGAGAAGATCCCTGACCTTCATGCCCTGAGACTGTGGCTCAAGGTCAACGGTGAGCTCAGGCAGGAGGGCAGAACAGCTATGATCTTTTCCATTCCCTACATCATCAGCTATGTTTCCAAGATAATAAATAACCTTGGAGCCGGGTGGCAGTGGCTGTGCGCGCCTTTAATCCCAGGGCTTGAGAGGCAGAGGCAGGCAGATCTCTGTGAGTTCGAGGCCAGCCTGGTCTACAGAGTGAGCTCCAGGACAGGCACTAAAACTACACAGAGAAACCCTGTCTCGAAAAACCAAAAATAAATGAATAAGTAAATAAATAGTCTTGGAAGAAGGAAACCTTATCTTGACCGGGACTCTAAAGGGAGTTGGGCCAGTTAAAGAAAATGATGAGAGCGAGGCTGGAATAGACGGAGTGGTTAGTATGAGGTTCAAGGTGGAAAGGTCAGAATACCAAATGTTCTTAAAGAGTGTCAAAAGCGAAGGGAAACAGGAGCAAGTGGAGGTAACTAAATGACAATCTTAATGAAAATATAAAAATTATGTCATTAGATTGCTAGGTCTATATCAAAGAAAGTGGATCCTTAAAAACAAACAACGTGATCTGAAAGGACTGGGACGGGGATAGAAATGGGAATAACCAAGGTAAAGGATATGTGATGCTTCCCAAGAGGAGATGTGTTAAACTAAATTCTGAGAGACAATAGTTTTTGTCTCCAAAACTGAACCGAACAGACTTTTCTGTAAATCATTCTGAAGTCTATAGAGAAAAGACTTGAAAACTGCAAAGGAAAGTAATTCATTAGTGATACTAACCTTTAGAATGCTACTTATTGTGGGAACCCACAAAGATTTCCTAGATAGATCTGAGCTTGCTTTACACAGCAGGGCTGCATTAGGGGATGGCTGGCCCACAAGCATGGTCACCAGGTGCCTGGGATGGTCTGTGCACACTTGGCTGTGCTGGGGGAGGTCTTTTGCCTCACTCCTTGGCATTCCTTTAAAAAGCCCTTTAGTAGAGACAGAAGGGGCTGGTGGGTTTGGACCCAGGCCCTCCCAAGGCTATCCTCTCTCCCCTTCTCTCCCCTCTCTCTCTCTCTCTCTCTCTCTCTCTCTCTCTCTCTCTCTCTCTCTTTCTCTCTCTCTCTCTCTCCCCCCTCCCTCTGCTTCTCTCCCTCCTTCTATCTACAAATTCCTCATCTCTCCTTGCTCAGGAGTACCCTGGGGCGGTAAGAGGGAGCTGGTCTCCATCAAATGGTCCCAGAACAGGGACAAACCAGGGTAGCTGGTGAAAGCTGGGGGAGAAAGCCCCACGGGAAGCAGTTGGACTGGTCCGGTTTTGTAGTAGAAGTGAAGGTGGGTTTTTATTCTTGGGAAGATGAAAGAAAGGACTGGAAGGATGTCCGAATATAAGGCTGCAGCACAGATTTCTTGTTATCTAGGTTTCTTTTTCTCTCCACTCAATCTTTCCATCTTAAGGGAAAAAAATGTAAGATAGTATAGGAAAAATTTAGAAATATGGCTTAAGAAAAAGATTTAGGAATAAAGTAAGCAGCAAGACAGAGAAACTAGATCCTAAATTTTTTAACTATGGGGCTATAAATGCAAAATCCTGGGCAAAGATCAGAGGAAAAAAAACAGGCAGAAAAAAAGATCCCCATGGAAGCTTTTGGCCTGGGAACAGCTAAAATGCTAAAAGTCCAAGCAGCAGAGGAAAGAGATCTCCCC